GAGAAAGTGTCCAATTAGCCCCTTACATTACAGAATAGAAAGAAGAGCAGAGCTGGCATCATGGCGCATGCCTGTAAATGTGCCACAATACCCTGGGAGGCTGAGGCAGAAAAACTGCAAGTCTGGGCCTATTCTGGCAGTTTAGTGACTTAGCAAGAAACTGTCTCAAAATTTTAAAAAAAGGCCTGCAGATATAGCTCAGTGTGAAGGCCCTGGATTCATTCCCTAGTATCGAAATGGACAGATGGATGCATGAATGGGTGGGTGGATGGATACATATATAGATGAGTAGAACATGCATCAAAATTAGCAGAAGAAGGGAAATAATGATTATAGCAGAAATGAAACAAATTAGAAAAATAGAAAATCAAATTATGAGTTAGTGTTCTGAAAGTAATAATATAGAAAAAAATCTCATTAAGAATCAACAAATTCAGAAAGGAAGAAAAGAAAAAAGGAAACATTACAACTAATGCCACAGAAATAAAAAGCACTGTAAGACACGAATATGAGTAATCATATACCAATAAATTAGATAAGCTAGAAGGAATGGCTAAGTTTCTAGCAACATACAACCTAACGACTGAATCAAGAAGTAAAAACTCTGAACACAGAACTAGCAAGGAGATAGAATTGGTAATCAAAAATCTTCCTACAAACAATCCAGGAACAGAGAGTTTCATTGGAGAATTCTACTAGACATTTAAAGATGAAGTAAAACCAATTCTTCTCACACTCTTTTGGGGAAAAATAAATGGGTAACAAGTCCAAATATATCCTATGAAGCCAGCAACACTGATTCTAAAAATCAGATACTATAAAAAAAGCACAGACCAATAATCTTGATCAGTACTGATATAAAGCCCCTCAAAAATATAAGTAAACTGAATCTGACAACACACTAAAAGTATTATAAACAGCCTAGTGGGATTTACTGCCAAAATACAAGGATAGTTCATCATTTTCTGTACCTATTGAGATGTTACCTTATTTTTACACATTCCTGCACATTTACTATTTTAAGGTTTTTTTCAGTGGACATTCTTGAGTATAACTGGACTGTCATTTTCATTTCTTATAATCTACTTGGTCTTTTTATAAAGGACCTACTACTCTCAGAGAATGGATTGGACTAGTATGTTCTTTGGCTTTAGAGTAATATAGTGATCTATTCCTTGAAATTTTGGTACAATTTGCTTGAAAAACCATCTAGGTCTACTGGTTTCCTTATAAGACTTTAAACTACAAAGGTTCTTTAAAGGTTATAGAACTATGGAAGATGTGTTCTAATTCTGATTTAACAGTTTTATAAAGTTATAGTTTTTAGAAAATGTGTTTATTTCTAGCTGTGTTTTAAAATTATTTGGCATAAAGTCTTTCTTAGTACTCTTTTATCTTCTATTAATCTTAAAGTTTGATACAATTTTAAATTTTAAAGAAGTTATCAGAATAGCCCACAAAATCCCACTCACTATTTGTTCACTCAGATTTATCAATTGGTAAAGCGATTCAAATTTAAATTACCATTTTCATTCTTTTTCTCTATGAATCATTTATAAGTAAGTATGCATCATGGCTCTGTAACAAATAATTAAATGATCTCCTAGTAATTAACACATCCTCCTGCAAAAATATACTGTTCCTAAATCAGTATTTTAAACAAGTTCCATTCCTACTGAATTGCATATTACTAATACAGAGAAATACAGATAATTTTGTATATTGTACCAACTTGTACATATATATACTTTGTGTGTGTGTGTGTGTGTGTGTGTGTGTGTGTGTATATATATGAATTAGATATTGCTAACATATAGACGTATGACTAACTTTTGTGTACTGATTTTGTATTCTATAATGAGGAAAGGAACTTATTAGTGCTAGTAGCTTTTTTGAACATTCCATTATATTTTCTACATAGATGGTCACTTTACCTATGAAGACAATTTTCTTCTACTTCCTTTCTTTCCATAATGAAAGTCTTTTATTTTTCTTTTCTACAAGTTTATGTAATGAATTATTAAACCTACCTGATTTTTTAATTTCAATTATTTTATTTTCCTAAATGTCCTATTTGGTTCCTGTTTATAACATCAGTTTCCCATTTTTATAGCATTCCTCAAAGTATTTTGCATATAAATATTTATTTAGCTATTTTAGATTCTTCATCAGATAGTATTTTTAATATTGTAAATCCACTGTGTCTTTGCAAACTTAAAAGTTTAAAAGCTGTTTCCCATTACTTTATTTTTCTTGCTGTCTCTCAGTCATAATATTTTACAAGGTTGGTAAGTTTTTTCTGTGAGCTCAATACTGGCTGACCTTAATATAAGGAGAAAATCTGATGGCTAAAATGCTTTCCTCTACAGAGGAACTTCACTGGTTTCTTGAGGGAGTACAACCATTTTATCAACCAAGGACCACATTCACCACTGTCACAGATCTCAACTTAATATACAGACCCTTTTTTTCTCCCTTCCTCCCTCCCTATCTCCCTCTTGCAGCGTTGGAGATGGAACCGGGCCTTGCTTGCTAATACAAAATGATTAAGTTCAGTTTTCCACCTTGGTAAAACCCCAATAGCCCAAAGTGGTGATCCCATCATTGACACAGACATTTGACTCCAAAGCAACTTCATCTTTTACATTCACTTACAGTTACAAATCTCACTACTGTTTCAACTGGATTGTCTGCATATGTGTATGTATTTGCATGTTTCCTCCCAAGATTCTCTTAATTTGGCAAGCAAGACAGTGTATTAAACATTATGTCTAAGTACCCTGTAGTGACAGGGTACTTAAAAATATCTGGGCCTCAAGACAAGTAAAAGTGCAAATCATCTAACCTTTACAGATAACAAATATTTATTGATAATACAGAACTTAAAAATCTAACTGTCTTATTGCTGTTCAATCAAATTGAGATGCCATAGACAGATGAGTTCAACATTTTACTCATACATGATATTAAAAAGATTTCAAATTTGGACGCCCTAAATTTTTTCTAAATTAGAGTTTTTAATGCTATTATCAAATCATTTGCTATGTCTAAAAGGGTAAAGGAAAACATTCTTTTCTATAGTTAAAAGTCTCAATGGTAGTATAGCTGCTCAAAATGCTGTCTACATTCCAAATTTAGCTTAATGCATCCTACAGATGATTATAAGATTCTGTTGGACAATAAAAATTGCTGGCTTAGAATACAAAAGTATCATATCTACACTCCCACACACAACTAAACTGTTTTAATTTTGCAGGTGACAATCTACAACCTATGTGATTCCCAAATAATTTGTTAATAGTTTGCTACACTTATCTTTTACGCAAAGTGTTCACAGTATTTATGATTATCTAGTGATACTAGAATTCTAAGCTGGTTTTTAAAAATACCAAAGTTGAACTTCTAGTATGTAATAATAAGCCTAAACTTCTCATTTAAAATTGAAATAATCACTCATATAAGCTATAGAAAAAAATACTAAAAAAGAATATTCAACATTAAAGTGCCATAAATAATATGAATCAATAGGTCTGAACGTATCTTTCCAAATTATCACATGACCTGAAGAAAATGGGCTAATTTTTACAAGTTATTGAGGGCTATTTTTAGATTAGGCAAAAGTAGAATTAGTTACTGCAATTACAGAATAGCTTTCAAAAGGATCTACATTTAAACAAAATTATCTGTAGGATTCATAATATTTTATATAATTGGTGAATTTTTATTTTATAATCAACCCATTTATATCTTATTTATACTGATATACTATTTACAACACTATGGACATCTAGTAAGAAACTTTCTCAAGTAATTAAGTATTACAAAAACTACCATCACATAGGATTTTTTTGTCCTGAGAACGTTCTTATTAAGACTATGACTACCAATACATACAGTCCTGACATCTCAAATCACATAGGAAAGGCAGTGATAAGATGAGATAATATTCAACTGAAAATTAAACTTTTAAGTAATCCCCAATTTTTTCTTAATAAAAAATATAAATGCTTTGGTAAATCTCATAAGACTTCACTGCATACAAGTAAGAAAAACCATTTTGAGTCTTTTTATAGATACAAAATTATCATTCATAATGCAGTACATAATTTTGACATATTCAGAGTAAATATTTAATATGATCTTACATAAGGCAACATGAGCAATGAGTACTCTGCATGATTATATGCAGGCATTGGACTTTGCCCCACATACCCTTTCCTTTTGCTGATTTTGCTTCATATACTTGCACTGTGGTAAATCATAGGCATCAGGACACTTCTAGGCCAGGCCTGTGAATCTTCCCAGTACATTACAAAACTTGGAGGTGATCTTGGAGACTCTCAACATAGCATATGAAATATTTAAAACTGGGAACTTAAATGTGAAGTTGCCTATATAATGATGCTGGAAACAACATTTTTTTTTCCTTTTGGAGCACAGATCTTAGAATTTGACAGCAAATAAACAATTATTAATATTGTATTAATAATTATACAAATAATGATGATATAGAATCAGGGACCCCTATACTTTGAAGAAATTTTGACACCTATGAGATTATCAGATTGGAGAATGATCTAAGGGAGATTTCAGAACACGGAAAACAAACACGTCGAAGTGCTTCATGCAAAAAATTAACAATACAATGGTTCTTATAGACTGACACGAACATATTATAATGACTACTACTTACATGTCTTATTTACTAAACATTTGTATTCTATTGTCTAGTAGAGCTTTTAAAAACATTACAAGCAATCATTTCTGTGACAGAAAATGGGAAATTAGTAGTACGTTTCAAAAATTAGTCCATAAATAGTACTGCTGCTAGCTCTACTATAAAAAATACGCTTACATTTATATTTGCAAGGAAAACTTAACAGTTGTCAGTAAATTTTCCTACTGCCATTTGACACCTATCCATTATGTAATCACACAAAGGAATCTGGCACATATCTTTGTGTTTTGTGTAAGAAATATGTGTCTTCATTTAAACATACCTTAACTATTTCTTCAATGAAACAAATGTGAGAAACAGGATCTCTCTTTTTGGTTAGTACCTTTTGTAGATGTTGCACCTAAAAAAGGGTAGGAATAAACAAATGCAAATGTGAAGTTTGGGTGCTAGACAAAGCAAGGTGCATTTCAGAAACTACTAAATAAATAGTGTTTGTAAGGGAAAGGAAATGACACAATGCTAGAGCCTTTATGTACATTGTAAGAAGCCTACAGAAGTATTTTTAATGTTAAGAGATTTTTAAAACCTCTCCCAAGTCACACAAGTTAGAACACTCTTTCTACCCCTGGAAATATTTACCTGTCCACAAACAGCACATATATGATCCATAAGTTTCTCCATATTGGTCCAAAGGGAAGCACGAAAAGCTGCAGTATTTCCTGGGGTTGGCATAGTAGATCGTCCAGGACCCCCTGGTTAGAAGAAACAAAAGAAATATGAAAAATCAAGTCTTCCAAATGTAACAAAATGTATTCTACCCTAAAAAGCATTCAAAGAAATAAATGAGACGTCCCATTTTAAAGGAATAATTTCTTAAAACTAATATATAATTTGTGCTTAAGAAAGGGATACACCATACACATATGTACACACACAGATATACAGGCACACATTCATGAAAGACAAAATGAAATTAATGAAAATGGTTTCCAAAAAGGAAATGAAGATGGTAGGAAATAGAACAAGCTGTGAGGTAAAAGGATTATAAATAAGTCTTCATGACTGAAACAAATACTCTGCAATATTCTAAAATATTTTGTATCCACATGAATGTTTTGCATATTCCAAAAACAAACTTAAATTTAAAAAGAGCAAAAAATATTAAAACTGAATACAAACAAATACAAGTGAAATTACCTATAAAACAAATTAATAATACAATCTCATGGGGGGACTATTTAGTAATTTTTAATCACAGGATACTGATTTTAGTCAGATACACTTTATGAGCAAAACAAAACAAAACAAAACAAAATAAAAACCACAAAGAAATCTTGTGCTTTACAGCTATGTTGCTGCTGTGGTAATGATGTAGTAATCCTGAAAACAGCGTTGGTATATTATAGGATATAGCAAGCAGAATCAAGGTACAAATATGTCATGGCAACTACAAGTATTTCCCGACTATCTATGGGAAAAGCAGTATAACTCCTCAACGGTAATAAGCAATCCAGAATCCAAATCTTGATTTTTAAGTTCCATCCATCAACCCCCTCCAAGCTTCACTAAAGAAGAGAGGCATTTCTGGAATAATGAAAATACAAGGTGAAATTGGTACATACAGTGCTAGAGAGCAAGGGCGTATTCAAAGAGAAGTGGAGATGCAGACAGGACACATGAATCTGACTGTCATGGCCTATAAAACAAACTGGGGGAAATGTGGCCATCCAAAATAATACTGACCACATATTATAAAACAATGATAAAAAATAACTGACGAGTTCAGTGAAAACTGTGAACACATTTAAAAATGATAGAAAGTACTCTTTACACAAAAGTACCCATTAATTAAATACAGAGAAAATGACAGAATGGGGGGGTGATTTTGCAACTATTACTGTAAAAATTAACTGAGGGAAATATTATGAATGACTATCAAAATACTAAGTGAAATTTTATAGTGAACAAGATATTCACATGTCTCCAAGTATACACCATTAAATCACTAGTTACAAAGTAAGTACTTTTACAAGGACCAATCTGGCATATATTACTGTAATGAAGTGATCCCATTCAGCATGGTAATATTGGGACTAACTGACATTATTTTGTTGTTTTTCCAATAAAATGTACAGTAGTCCCTATCTTTGGGTTCACATTCTCTGGTTACAGTTATCTACAGTCAACTATAGTCTGAAAATACTAAATGGAAAATTCCAGAAATAAAAAATTCAGAAGTTTTAAACTGTGTACCATTCTGTATAGCATGAGGAAATCTGTGCTATCCTGTTGTGTCCTGCCAGGATGTGAATTATCCCTTTCTCTAGTGTATCCAGAATGTAGATACTGTTTACCCAGTACAAGGTAGTTACTCACTTGGTGTCTTGTTTATCAGATTAACTGTAACAGCATCTCAGAGCTTATAACCTTGTAACCAAATAACCTTTATTTTATTTAAAAATGGCACCAAGGAACAAGAGCGGTAATGTTGGTAATTTTATTATAGCACATTGCTATCTGTAACTCTTCTATTATGCACTGTTGTTAATCTCTTACTATGCCCAATTTACAAATTAAACTTTGTGATAGGCCTTCATTTATAGGAATTTCTTCACCCATGTCTCTCTGGCATACTGTGCAGCCTTGGCACCAGCTGACCACGCAGGACTGAAACTTCAGAAATATGAATCAAAATAAATTTTTTCTCCCTTAAGGCATGGATGTTGGGTATTGTGTCTAAACAATGAGGAAAGTAATGAAGACAGTGGGGGTTTTGGAATACACCCACCCCATGGATAAGTGGGAATTAGTGTAATAAGAAATACACATTACTACCTGTATGGTTACCATGAACTGAACCATGCAGACACAATGAAACAAATGCTGATTACAGGGATCTCCAAATTTGTTAAATCATCAAAAAGGCTGTGTGTAATTATAGGATGGTAAAAAGAAAACATAACCAACAGAAAAGCATGATTCCTGATTGGTTCCACTTGGGGGAAACTCAGTTAAAAAGAACATTTTGAAGAATAACTGAAAATTCTGGATAGGAATTGTTATTAAATAACATCACCCTATCAGTACTAAATATTGAGAAACCAGAAGTGGTGGTGCATGTCTGTAATCGCAACACTCAGGAGGTTAAGGTGGGACGATTGCTGTGAGTTCAAGCCAGCCTGAAAGACACAGTGAGAGCCTGTCTCAAAAATAAAATAAAATAAAATAAAATAAAGTAAAACTCTGAAGCACCAAGAATGTTTACAAATGTTCTTGTATGTGACAAAAACACACAAAGCTGTTTGTAGAGCTTTGAAATGTTTCAACATAAAAATAGGAAATTTTGTCCCAAATTTCAAGGCATAGATGTTAGTCCAAACTAAAGTTAAAAAGCAGGCAGAGGTTTCTGAAAAGAACAAATGGAAAATAAAAATAGTCAATATACAATGCACTAAAACTTCTCTACAAAAGGAAATATACTCTAGCTCAGAAAAAATAATTAGGATAAAATAACCCTCACATATATCCTTAAAAGTTATTAACCTTCAATGATTAAAAAAATTATATGCTGGGTGTGGGGATGTACATCTGTAATTCTAGCACTTGAGAAGCCGAGTCAAGAAGAATGCTGGGAATTCAAGGCCAGCTGGGGTACACAGTGAGTTCAAGGCCAGCCTAGACTACATAGTGAGACCCTGTCTCAAAAAACAAAAACAAACAAAAATCTGTACATTCACATAAAAAGCAAGTGTCTATGTGTCATAAACAGATCTGTCTTAGAATTCTCTCATATGTCTGCTATTTGAAGGGGTCCACCCCATTTCCCTGGCCTCATCTTTCAATTGGGGGGCTTCGGTTAACATACCATTCTTGCCTTCTTTGCCTCCCTCTTACTCACTCATCCCATGTGCAAACAAGTGACCTTTTAAGTGGTAACCGTGGGTGAGAAACTGAGCCTAACTGACAAGTCTCTTCCACTCTCTCTCACTGAAGCTTTCTGTATATGAAAGGTGCATTTTGACTTGCACTCTACCGGTGCTAGTATAGCAGGGCAGGCTGACACTTGGGGACAAAGTTTCATTTTGAGGTGTCATATTAGGAAATCCTCTTGACTACAGATCCAAACCATGCCTTCAGTTTAGGATTTTGTTTTTGAATCACTAATAAAACTAGCATTTTAACTGTCATCTTTTTACCTCTTGCATCTCTATCTCAGTCATGTTCAAATTCAGTAAGGAAGAGAGGTATTTCTTGGGCCACAAACAGTTACAAAATTCTAAAGGAAAGTGAGTGCAAATAAGAATTTATATCTACTAAAATTATCTAAACAAAAAGGCAAAAGACACCATCAACTATGCAAGAACTCAGAAAACACAGATCTCATGAAACATTTGTGAAAAATTAATTATTATAAAATCCCGGTAAGGGAGAGATGAGTATAAAAATGGAGAAGTAATATGACTAGAAATAAACAGCAAATCACTGAAAAATGAAGAAAATATAAAAAGCACCGATGACCCCAAACTACAAATACTTCACACACGTGGACAAGCATATGGAATAACACTGCAAATACTTGCCATCAAGTGCACAGAGTGAAGTCCCCTGGTTCTCCCCCTTGCTGGTCCCGCTTCCTTTGCTAAGTCTCCAGAACAAGTCTTAAATTTGGTGATTATCATTTCGTGCAGTTACACTTAAACATGTACATATGCAAAACATTATAGCACTGTATTTTTTCATGTTCTTAAGCTTTAGATATGGTATCATATTGCATGTATTTTGGTGCACCTCACTATTTATTGATTTAATTACTATTGAACCATTTAGAAAACTAATTTATCCACTTTTCCATTAAAGCAAAGGTTATTTTAACTTTAACTATTCTGCACCACAGTACAATAAAAATTCTTATAGGTATGTGTCAGAACTTCTCTAAGGCATATTCTTTTTTTTTTTTTTTTGGTTTTTCTCCGGTACCGGGAACCGAACTCACGACCTTGCGCTTGCCAGGCAGGCACTTTGCCGCTGAGCTAAATCCCCAGCCCCTCTAAGGCATATTCTTACAAAAGAAATTAGGGCCCACATGGTGACCCACCCTTGTATACCCAGCACTTACAAAGTTGAGGCAGGAAGATTACTGTGAGTACAAGGTCTGTATCACATAATGAGTTCAAGGCCAGGCTGAACTAAATAGCAAGACCTTGTCTCAAGAAATTAACAACTGAGGGGCTGAGGATTTAGCTCAGTGGCATGGCACCTGCGTGGTAAGCATGAGGTCCTGAGTTCAATTCCTTGTACCTGCCCCCCCAATTCAGCAACCAAACAAACAAATTAGAAAATCATAAAAAATACACATTTTTAAACTTAAAGATCAAATGGTAAAATAGAACACAGTGTTTGAAACATATTATTCTGCTGTAAGTGTAGAGGAGTTTCTGTTCTCATTCAACACTTAGTTCCCTTAGATTTTTCCACAAAATTAGGAAATAGTACCTCATTTAATTTGTATTTCCTTAATAACTATTTCATTCTCTAAAAAGTCTAAACATATTTCACATGTTTATTGGCTATGTCCTCCCATAAACGGCATATTTATACTGTGCATTTTTATCAACTAAGTTACTCCTTTCTCAAATTACAGGCTTTTTATACATTCAAGGTAACATTATTTCCCTTGAAATTGTATTGCCATATATTTTTTAAAACTTTGAAACAATCTTAAATTTGTGGAAAATTTGCTACTGTAAAAAAAATTCCTGGAACCATTTACAACTAAGTCACTGACATGACATCCCATCATCCTTCAATATTGTAATGTATGTTTCTATATGAATGAATATTCTCCTATATAAGCTTAATATGGCAAAGATGAGGAAATTAACATACTGCCTATGTACCATTTACAAAATGTAAATATTAGTGATTAGCCTTTAAAAATAGTAAAGCATTTATCCTTAAGGCGTCTACATTTAAGTCACGATATCTATTCCTCTACAGATGATAATAAGAGAGCTTTAATACTCTTTTATTCTTTCAACAAAAGAGGCCTACATTAAGATTGACACCATGTGAATAATTGCTTTCCTTTTTTTCTCCCCATTCTTGACAACACAAGAGGGAATGAGATTAAACTTCTCCTGGAAATTTAAACATTAAATCAAACTTTCTGAGAATAATTGCTGGGAAAAGTTGAGAGTTAAATCTCCTTTGGCAATTTATTTTCAAGACTATTCCTTCTGAAATACTCTTAATACGGACCTACTCTAAAGCCATGGTTAACCTTTAAAAATATCTCGAGACCTAAGATTCTTTCACCTTTTTTTATCTAGTGAATATACATGAGTTTTATATAGTCAGTGTTACTTAGGGTCATGTTTATATAGCAAATATGAAAGTAATAAATGGTTGCAAATGTCTTTGTAGTATTAGTCATGTATCGGGAACTGCTAATTATTCTACGTGAGTGATTTCATTGATTCTTCAGGACAATTCCATGATAAATAGAAGGCCTTCAATTTAAGGGGGGTGGGACATGGAAGAGAAAAACTGGAAATATTAAGTGTAGATAGCAATCTGGGAAAGTTTTCTATAGATTGACAAAATGAAGTGGCGTAGTAAAGCTGAAGAAAAAAGTGGAATCAAGTTAGTTTGTTGTTACACAGAAGGAGACATAAAAGGACAACTAAATGTGATGGAAATGAGACACAGACAAGGAAAAATTCAGAAGGCAAAGACAAAGCATCTCCTGAAACAATACTCTGGTATGATAGGACTTAGTGCAAAAGTACAGCGGTCTTTGCTAGCAGAAAATATAGTTCCTCCATATTAACTGGAGAAAACAGAGAATATAAAGGCAGAAATGGAGGAATGGAATTGCAGCAAATGACATGCCCTCACAATGTGTGCCCTTTCTTCTTTTTTCTTTCATTATTATTATGTGAATACCATCAGCAAGTATGTCTTGGCAGGAAAAGGGCTGCAGTGTGCTATGATGGGGATGCTCTTTTCCACGTTGAGTTCACCTCCTTTTAGCAGCTTTATTTAGATTTTCCTATACTTGTAACCTTCCCAAAGTTTTAATCCATATATGCTTGGATGTTACTGCTTCTGGGTATAAGAATTATAAGGAAAACACCAGAAACCTAAAGCAGAGATAGCATCCTTTTAAAAATATTTTCTTTCTCAATAAAAATACATATAAGGATAACAGCTTCAGAAAGAAAAATCTGTTCTGTTCTTTCTTTTTTCTGCATCTGTTTCAAGTAAATGATGCCATAGCTTATAAATCTTTGTCTTTATCTAAAAGTTGTGAATGCACCAATTGGCCTCTTCAGCTCACTGATTAGACAAAAAAAGTATAAATAAATTCTGAAACATAATTTCTTCTCTCATTTTCTGTCTCCTAAAAAGTGAGTCATTAGATTGCTTTGAAATAATGAGTTTTTTACATACTATGCCAAGGACTTCTCGGTTATAAATATATGAAGATGGTAAATATAAATCACATGCATACCTCTCACAGCTGACTGAGAAGGCTGAGTCAATACTTTGATGTCTAATGTATTGTTGATATTTTCTTCTAAAGTAGCACAATATCCATCCACAACACTGGTAACAGTATCCTTCAAAGTTCCAAGATTATGGAAAACCTGAAGAGCTGTTCCAACTTGAGTTGGATTCTTAAAAAAAAGATGAGATGGGATGGAAACAGATAAATAGGAAACAAACAAATCAATATAAATCTCCAATTTAAGTGGTACTGAGCAATTGTCACATTTTTAAATCAAAGACAAGAATAAAACAATTTGAAATAAATATAACTTTAGTCATTATTTCATAGAACAAAAGTTAAATACTATATTATCCCACCCTTTTCCTGTCTCTCCTTCTTTAGAGGTTAATAACAAAGTTTGAAGTCTGTGGTATAATATTAGAGATTATTTAAAATTTGCCACGAATCCCTACAATGGGAGCCATGCTGCAATAGAAGTCCTAAACTGACACAAAGGCTTGATACTACTCTATATTCATCCTTGGTACTATATTCATCCTTGATACTACTCTATATTCATCCAACACTCATTCTAACTACAAATATTTATACAATGTCTACTGTGTAGCTATCATAGCTCTGGGTGCTGGAAACACAGTGTGAAAATAAATTAAATCCATGTCCTTCTGGAGCTTATAATTAGTATGAAATATATAAAACATAAATACAATAGGATATCAGATAGCAATGTGCACAATTTTTTAAAAGTGATGTAGAAAATAAGAATATAGAATGATAAAGATTACTTTAGAGACAGAAATAAGAAAATCCACCTCTGAGATGATATTCAAAGAGACCTGAATATTCTGAGTGAGGAAGTCTAAATATATGTGGAGATACAGATCTAGGTGATGGTATCAGCCAAAAAACTGAGAGAGAAATGTGCTTCATATGCTAGTGAAATAACCAGACCACGATGGTATCTGCGGCAGTGGGAAGCGACAAAGAGCAGGAGATGAAGGAAGAAGGGAAAAAACTACCAATGAATAGATTCAGATCAGAGTGATATAAAACTGTTGTATGTGTTGCCAAGTAGACTAAACTACCAGCTAGTACAATAACTTATCCAGGCCCAATAGTTGAAATTCTTCTACCATTTATGAGTCAGTGTGTGCTATTAGAGATATGGAGTTAAAAAGTTCAATTATTTAACATGTTTTCTGGACTTAGTTTATAAATAAGACAAAAAGTTACTTCTAAAATCTACTGGCCTTATTTTCAAATTACACTATACACTGCAGCTACACAAACACACAGAAGCAAAAGAGTATGCTCAAAAATATAAATAAGTTAAAAGCAAAATAACAGCTAATAGGAAGCAGAGAGAAAGAACTTTTGCAAATGGGAAGGAGACCAAATAACAGAGAGAGGGCAGAAGGAAAAGAGATCAAAGAATTAAGATGTATTATGTACATGTTCCAACTCCCACGATGAACATAATCATTATGTACTGCAAACATGTACTAATAAAAAATTTTAAAAAGCCATCTAAACAAAGAAAGAGAAGGAAACAGAGTTGGTAAATAACGATGCTCATTTGAAATTTATTTCTATTAAATAAATGAGTATTATTTAAAAGTAAAATGTTCTAATAAAAATGTTTCATTTAATTTGATTATACTGAATTTAATTCTAGTATATACTGTCAACTATGTATTAGAACGCCAACAAGAGAAACCGGAGAAAGTAAGTTACTACATATAACATTATTAACCAAAAACAAGGCATGACATTTGTTTCTATGGTTGTTATTTTCATCTTTTACTCTTCTCCCAAAAGTGAGTGTATTATTTTTTATTTTATGTTTTACATTTTTGTAGAGTAAGAATTAAAATAGGGTAGGCGTAAGGAAATTTAATCATTACTAGAAGAACATCAAGGAACAATTTTATCTCATAAAACTAAAATACAGACACACACTTTAAAAGTTATATCTACTATCCTGAAAAGACTTGTAGAAATCATAGTTTCTCCACATGTAGGTTCAACGCTATCTATCAATAATATGTATGCATACATTGACTAAAAACATATATTATACAATAGTTATAATTTATAGTACTTTAATTATACTGAAAATAAGCTCTCTGATTAACACAGCCACTTTTTCAATTCATGTCAGTTATTCACATTCATAGCTTAGTATAGCTGTGTCAGTTGTTAACAGAGAAGCTACAATAGATAATATATGTTACTAACGTAGAAGCTATCATAATCATTTGAAATAAAATTCTTAAAGTCACATACATACAGAGGAATATGACACTTAGGTAAGCACAGCTTTATGAATTATACTGAAGTGAACCCACCTGGTAACTACCGACTAGAACCAAATACTGCAGCCACCTCTGAACTTTGTGTGGCTCTTCCCAAGCTCCATATTTCCAAATATTATCACTTTCATAACTTCTGAAACCACCATAGTTTTGCTTATTTGTGAACTTGGAGTAAATGAATTATAGAATTGTGAATTACTTTGATCAACATCTTATTTGAGAAATTATTCCATGTTGTTGCACACAGAAGCAGTTGACTCACTTTGTTGTTGTGTAGCAGTCCACTGTAGAAATTTACTTGAGTTTATCCACTGTACTGATATACATGAGTTCCTTGTACTTGTAGGTATTTTAATTTATCCTGCCATGAACATTCTTGTACACAGCATTGAGTGAACATACGTGCAATTTTGCTAAGAGTAGAACTGCTGAATTTTAAGGTATTTGTGTGTTTGGTGTTTGTAGCTAGTGCCGATTTTCCAAAGCCATTGTAACAATTATACTCACAGGCAACATATGAGAATTGTAGGCATTCAATAAACTTGCCAAAAGTTAAAATAATCAGTTCTTTTAATTTTACATATTCTTGCTGGGAAGATAGCACAGCGGCACAGTGCCTACCCGGCAAGCACCGGGTTCTGAGTTCGATTTCCAGCACAAAAAAATAAAACCAAAATTTTACATATTCTTTTGAGTGAGCACCGTGGTTTAATCTGCATTTCTACGATGACTAAGCAAGTTACCCTTCTTGCATATTAATTATCCACTTGAATATCTTCTTTTGTAAAATGTATATTCATCACTGTTGCGCATGTTTTTCACTGGTTGTTTTTGTCATTTATGTATTTGTACAAGTTGTTTATATAATTTGGATATAACCACTTTGATGATTATAAGTATTGCAAATATGTTTTCCACTCTTAATGAAGTCTTTTTGTAAAAAAAATTCCTGATTTGAATGTAGTCCCTCTTAGCAACCTTATTCTCTGTGGTCAGCACATTTGGTATCCTGTTTAAAAAGGGTCCACACTTATGAAGATGTTTCATTCATGAAACTATCCTCTAGAAACTCTACTGGTTTATCTTCCACACTTCCACTTTTGAGACAGGAGTCAATATTAGCATTTTTCTCTATGAATATCCAAATGATACAGCATAATTTACTTGAAAAGGCAGGCAAGCCAATGAAAAGCTTTCCCCGTCCCCTCACTCTCAAGAGCCACCTTTACAATAAATCAAATACCCAACTATGTGTTTTTCTTTTTGGAATCTCAATTATCACATTCACCTATCTAAATTACTGTAGCTTTAAGTTTGAGAGTTAGGCTTCTAGTTCTGTTCTTCAATTTGATATCAGGTGTTTTCAGCACACGATACTTTCTTACAAATTTCAGAACTGGCTTGACAACCTCCATTTTAACAAAAGCTTCTGGGATTTTGTTTGAAATTGCATTAAACCTGTAACTAAAATGAGAATAGATATAACACTGAGATCGCCAATTCACAAATATGGCATGTCTCTTTGTTTACTTAGGCCTTCTTTCTCTTAATAATCTTTGGTAGTTTTCTGTGAAGGGGGTCTGATTTAGTATATTTTGCATTTTAAGCATTCCTATGCATTTGATATTTTTTGATACTGTAAATAATAATTTAAAATTTCTTTTGTCTGAGCCGGGTATGGGAGCACACACTTGTAATCCCAGCACTTGGGAAGCTGAAGCAGGAGTTATACGAAAAACCCAAAGTATAAGTAAATTAAAGATAAAGTGAAAAGTAGATAATAGGAAATAGGGAGATACAGCTTTTGCAAATGGGAAACACACATGAGATGAAAGGAGGTTGGAGAGATGAGAGAAGAAGGGCATGTAAAAAAAATGAAGATGTGTTATATACATGTACCACCTTCCTACAATGAATATAATCTTTAGGTACTATGAGCATGTACTAATAAAAATTTTCTAAAATCACAGACTGTTATTTAATTTTATTAAATATACTTCTGTGCCTCATGAGATGATAATTTCCTCCCCTTTTATTGAAGATAATTTCTTCCCCTTTCACTGCACTTCTGGACTAAAGCCATCTTGGTCATTATGAATTATCATTTATAAATCTGCCTGGCTTACATTTGCTAAGATTGAGCATTTTTTTGCATCAATTTTGAGGAGAGATGGCTAGTAATTTTCCTTCCTTATAATGTCCTTACTTTGATACCAAGGTTACCCTGGCTTCACAAAGTGAGTTGGTAAGTATGCTCCCTCTTTCACAATTCTTGAATAGAGTTGATACTATAACACTGGCGTGCTTATTCCTTAACTGTCTGGAAGAATTTACCTGTGAAACTATTTGCTCTTTGGAGTTTTCTTAGAGGGACGGATTCAGTTTTGATAAAAAAAGTAAAATTACTCAGACCTTCTAATTTCCTTAGTGTTATTTTTGGTAAGTTGTTCTCCTAGAAATCTGTCAATTTCAATGAAATTTTCAAATCAATGGGTGTAGCTGTACCTAAGGCCCTCTTCCTATCTTTAATTTTTGTTCACTCTCTTCTTAGGTCAACTTTTAAATCTTGCATCTTTTTTGTTTTCCGTCCCTCATCAGTCTTTTGGGATATTTACCAATTTAATTTACTAGGCTTATCAAATAACTAATCTTAGGCTTTGCTGAATCTATTATCAGCTACTGTTATTCCTATCTTGCAGGCTGCACTGGCAGGCCTAAACCAGAATCCAAGCTCCAGAACTTAGACAAAACAAATGACAAATTAACCTACTTAATACTTAATTTGCACATTAAATTAAATAATCTTTTCTCTTTTCAGACAGAGCCTCACTACCTTTCTCAGGGTGGCCTC